AAGCATGATTTTAAAAATTGAATTAAGGTCCACTACACCAAAGAAAGGCAATACACTACATAGTAAAGGTCCTCTAGGCTAGAATGTCTGAATTATAGACATAGTCAAAATTTAAGTTATTTTATACCCTTTCAAAAGCTAGAATGTCTGAATTATAGACATAGTCAAAATTTAAGTTATTTTATACCCTTTCAAAAGGTAACATCTCCCATAATTAAAGCAAAAGTAATTTATTTTGTTTAATGTATGTAAATAATACCTCTATTTCTCTACATCTTTCTCCTAGCATATCAAAAATAATATTTTATAATAAATGTTAGTAAATATTAATCATAAGTAAATATTAACAATAGAAATCAATGTGACTTTCAGAATTCAATGAACTTAGAGTTCTGAAATAATCTAATCGATATACGTTAACAGTCTACAGCATCCCTTAGAAACACAGCTCCTGTCAATACCACCAGCAGCCCAGTACTTTACAGTGGAACACATTCTCCTGTTGAACAGCTCTATTTGTTTAAAAATGTGCAGTGGAGATCTGCCCCTCTAAAACATTCACTAAATTCTCCATGTTTCCTCTAGTTCAGGATCTTTCTAAATTTACTCAGAAACCCTTACACAGAATCAGACTCCTCTGGACCAATCAGTGGCCTAGGAATTTGTGTACATTTGAAATAAAGGCCTGATTAAAGTGGGCCATTACCAGAGAAATATCATCTGACCAGCCCCCAAAGGCCACTCAGCCTGTAGTGCACAATGGGTAAGGGTCTAGTTCTCTGGTCTATACAGCAGAAGTTTGACCTTACAGAACTTCAGAATTGAGTGGGATGAAGAAAGCTGACATGTGACCCCCTCAAAAAATGAACAGAAATTTGGAACTAGTCAGTTCACTCAAATGAAATATGTAACTGTTAAATGGGTAAGATATACATATTGTTTTGTCAAAGTCATTCCAATGTGAAGGCTACATAGAAGTCAAATTATTTTAAGAATGACTAGACAGTAGAGCATCAGCATAAAAGAAATGGGTTAACTGAGTAAAATATTCAATGGCTTCAGAAACTAACAACCTGGTGCATCTATCTCTGTACCTGGGATTCTGAGTTTGCTAGTTCAGGTTGGTTTTCTAAGACATACTAGCTTGGGCTGGGTGCAGGCTCACGACTGTAATATCAGCACTTTGGGAGACTAAGGCAGGTGGATCACTTGAGGCCAGGAGTTCAAGACCAGCCTGACCAACATGGAAAACCCTCATCTGTACTAAAAATTAAAAAAATTAGCTAGGGTAGTGACACCAACAATGGGGACAAGCTATTATGGAGGCAGAGACATGAGAATCACTTGAACCCCAGAGGTGGAGGTTGCAGTGAGCTGAGATCATGCCACACACTCCATCCTGGGAAATAGAGGAGACTCTCTCCCCCGCCCCCCCCCCAAAAAAAGACATACCAACTTGGAGAACACAGGGATAGATAATACAACTTAACTCTAAGAACTTCTTTGGCCAAGCTTTCATCTTTGTCCAAAGGGAAACACTTTTTTTAGAAATATGGGTAGATTTCATCAAATTTTACACTGTACTAGCTCTGCTTTGATCCATAATGTGTTCCTTTGACAGATTTATTCTCTAAACAACATCTTATTTTCAGCTTTTTAGGGAAGACAGGGGCAATGGTAAACACATACACATACACATACACATACACATACACATACACATACACATACACATACACATACACATACACATACACACTGGACTGTATTGATTTAGTCTGAACTACTAAGTCTGTCTTTGCCCTCTTTCTACCCACTTAACAATTCTTGAGTTACAGTAAGGTAAGGCCTCACCATTTGCCATTCTCTGTCTCTTTTGCTTTCTCTGTTTCTTTCCCTGCAAGCACCAGGGTAGAAACCATGTATATAGCTGTGTTATAGAACAGCCCAGGTCAATAGCTCTTAACTGAAGTGTTGACTAGCAATGGGCACGCAGCCCTATTAGCTCTGCTGCAAATAACTCAGATTATATCAGAAATTGTTTCTTAAAAGGGTCAGAAACTATCTAGAACAAACCATTTGTAAACATTTAAACAGGAAACTAGTGGAGGATTTTAAACAGAGACAAGAAGAGTTTCTACCATAGCCTCTTGTCTATTTTAGTAGAAGGAGAACCACCCTTACATTAAACCTCATTTTAAATGGAGGACAGAGAAATCGATGTCTAAACCATAAGCTACTGAAAGAAACATGCAGAATTCCAGATATACATAATTTTTATATAATTTAAAATGTTTTAATGCTTTGTTATTGCTTAATACCTACTATATATAAATATTAAGATCACAAACACTATGTTTCATATACATGTTTGTTTGGATATTAGATTTCTGTGTTTCTACTATTCTTAATATACTAAAATCTCATTTCTAAAATATGTGTATTGCATTACTAGCAGTGGTTGTATATTCAGGTTTTCAATCAACTGGTTTACTTGGTTGGATTGACTATAAATTTGTTGACATATATTGATGATTCCTCGTTTTCTTGCCCAGAGATCATTTCTTCTACTCATTTATTTTCAATCTCTCTGCTTTCTTATTTGACAGTATCCTATGAGCAGCATAACAGAGCACTCCAAGCTAATAAAGAAAGTGTAAACTAATTAGCAGATTTTACGATGGGAACTATTCCCTGCCCATGTGATCACCCTGGCTGGATAATGAACTTTGTGAAAATATCCATCTCTTACTACACTAAGGCAACGTCTCATTCAAACAAGCTCTTACTTTTCCCTTATACTTCAGTTCATAATTGTGAATATGGCACGAGTCCAGAAACAAACTGTCAGTATGGGGTGAGGTACAGGGTTAAAAATAAAATAGCCTAAAACCTTGATTTTCACTTTAAAAAATTCTTGATCTTCTTTGCAACTGACAGAAAGAAAAATAGGCCTAATAAGATGTGTTTGAAAAAAAAGACAGTGTATAACTGAAATTTAGGGAACTCACAGAAAATTTCCCTGCATGCAGGTGTTCAGAAGCACTGAGGGGTTACTAATGAACCCTAAATAGAAGTATTGAATAGTTTGTTAAGGGAAGAAGGTCCAGAAATAAAAGTGAAAATCAGAGAACTGGTTCATTACAGCAGCAGAGTGACTGACAAACCCCACTGCTAACACCTCCTCTAAACCACAGGTGCACGGTTTAATCGCTCTGGTGCGTAGCCCCTGGCCCTGGCACAGAATGAACACAGCCTCCTCCATGGGTTCACAAATTGCCCTGCTTTCATTTTGGTCACACGTTCCCGTGTGGGAAATTTCACCCAACACTGCCCACTCCAGTTTTGGTGTATTTGCTTACTGCAACTGCACTTACTACCAAAAACATCATGCCACAAAATTCCAAAGTAACTTCAAAGAAGAGGGAATAAATTTAAAAAGTTCTATACATTCTTAGTTTTCTCCATGGAAGTTGTTTGTTCAGTATAATAGCAGTTATCAATTGGAAATATTGTAATGCAAACAAAAAAAATCACCAACCATCCTAGCTAAAGGGACACAGATAAGAAACAAACTAATGATTTTAATGTCATCTACAGGCTTTCTAGTACATTAGTGGTAAATCCGTTACAAACTTGGGTGTGTAACTTAAAATATTGTCCATCATAATGATGCATTTAATATCTCTACACAAGAAAGCACTATACATATTTAACAACTTATTTCAAACTTTAATATTTTGCAGATGGCATCTGGATCTTAAAGATGTATAGATTTTTGTAGCTCTGTTTAATCATAAATAATACATTTGTCTGATTCACTAATACCACAGGCATGTTTCATCTCCTGACGAATATGGTTATCACCTATAATTTTTTTAAAAACCTATACCCTTAGGTAGAAATAATCCATTTTATAAAAATAGGAATTCACTTACCCTGTTCTATTACTGCTGACTAATTATTAGGGTGTTGAAGAGTACCTGCAAATTGAAGAGTGTCTTCAGATTGAGGTCGTAAAAGCTGTATTTCTCATGTGTTTGGGCAGAAATTTTCAAGAATATCATATTTCAGATTTAGGAAAAACAAAAAAGGCAAAAATTTTATCATAAAATGAACATATAAAGACTCAAAAGACACTTAAAGATGGCATTACAAATATGAAACAAATGTATTTGGACTAACAAAGGTCAAAAAATTCAAATATCTATAAAAAACATGTCAAAACAAGTAGAACATGTAATGGCAGGGAAAAGGGTTCATTTTAGAATCCAAGTTTATTCTTTATCATAAGCTTAGATGTCACATAGCACTGTTAACATAGGCCAAATATTATGCATTTAAATACACTTCCAGTATTCAGTGTAATGTGTGAATATCTACATAAGTGATTTTGAAATAACATTTTCTATTCAATAGGTTTATTTTGGCAACAAAAAAAATGTATGGATGCTAGTGAAAATCATGTTTGCAATAGATTTTAAAAGGCTGAAAGAATGCATTTGTTGAAATTTGCATTCGGCTTGGAAAATGTGTGTTTAACAGTTGAACACAGCCATATTTTAACTTTTAAGCTCTTGTATTGCAAAAGTACCAAGGTATTACAGCAATTTACTCTTAAGGACATTATGCTGGGCTTTGAAATTTAAAAAATAGGATATTTCTTCTTGGAGTATTTCATGATCAATGTACAGTCTGTATGCGAGGAAAATTAAAGCTGTCTGACAACTCATAGAAACACCACTGGCCGTTAAAGATGTAGAAAATTGCATAAAAGCATAAAAAGCACGGGGTAATTTTGCAATTTCATTTCTAAACACAATTGTAAAGACATCTGTCTTTCAGTTCTTTCTGCCTCTTACTTCTGAAGCACGGCCCTTTAGTTCTTGCCCTTTTAAATATCTTTGCTTACCATAGCTTTGCTTCTTAATGTACTGGTTGATCTTACCAGGCTAAGAAAGTATTTACAGGGGGGTGCTTGCTTTTATCTGTATTCACAGAGAATGCTAACAAATTGGAAGAAAGTGCCAGAGAACACCACGTACCTTGTCCGGAACATTACAATGGCTTCTGCATGCATGGGAAGTGTGAGCATTCTATCAATATGCAGGAGCCATCTTGCAGGTAAATTTTTCCTCTTAAGAACTGTTAATGGGCCGGGCGCGGTGGCTCAAGCCTGTAGTCCCAGCACTTTGGGAGGCCGAGGCGGGTGGATCACGAGGTCGGCAGATCGAGACCATTCTGGTCAACATGGTGAAACCCTGTCTCTACTAAATATTACAAAAAATTAGCTGGGCACGGTGGCGTGTGCCTGTGGTCCCAGCTGCTCAAGAGGCTGAGGCAGGAGAACCCAGGGGGCGGAGGTTGCGGTGAGCCGAGATCGCGCCATTGCACTCCAGCCTGGGTAACAGGAGCGGAACTCTGTCTCAAAAAAAAAAAAAAGAACTGTTAATGTATAAAGTAAATATGTAGAAACCGAAGTATAGCTGTTTATAGAAAATTGGTCGACGTTTTTCTTGAATGGGTGATCAGCAGCAACGCTTTTATCTGCTTCTTTGCGCATGTATACACACACACACACACACACACACACTCACACATACTCACACAAGCATTCATACACTAAAACAAAAATTGGTGCAACTTACACACTCAAGTACTATATAACACGTGGCTGAACTCTTCTGGTAAAATTTAAAATTGTACTTTGTGCGTTATAAGCTCTTTAAAGGTACAAGTTCCTCCATATTATCACTCTCCTGAACGCAGAATAATACTTGTCATATGTCATGTGCTCAATAAGTACTTCTCAGACAAATGAATGGAAAAAGTCTAAAGTATATAAGATAACATTGTTGCTTCTCAGAGATCATCTTTTCCTAAGTCTTTCCAGTCTTCTCATAAATATCATCAATCCTTGTTTTGCCAGGCATTTACTATTTTCTATAGATCTGCTCTCCCCTGGGGCCTTGCAAAGTGAGATCATTAGCTATACCTTCACAGTTTCAAACTTAGCAGAGACGCAAAGAAATTGCATATCTGCATTTAGTTTATAAATATTAATACTGGCTGGCCACGATGGCTCACACCTGTAATTCCACACTTTGGGAAGCTGAGGTGAGAGGATTACTTGAAGCCAGGAGTTCAAGACCATCCTGGGCAACAAAGAGAGACCCTATCTCAAAAAAAATTTTAAAATTAGCCAGGCATGGTGGCATGCCCCTGTAGTCCAGGAACTATTTGAGAGCTGAGGTGGGATGATCCCTTGAACCCGGGAGTTCAAGCCAGCAGTGAACTAAGATCACACCACTACACTCCAGCTTGGGCAACTGAGCAAGACTCTATTTCTTTCTGATGACATGGGTACAAAAATTAGTCTGTTTGTTTTGGATGAAACATTCTCTATGCCATTATCAGAATAAATGTTGAGAAATATTAGGATCAGAGTTACATGATGAGTCTGAAAATAAATAAATAAATAAATATTTATTTTTTTAAATACCTGCTGTGTATTCATGTCTAAAGCATAATTATTTCAGAGCTGGCAAAGCCAAAATGAAAACATTTTTATTTACATTAAGTACAAGTGACATATGATGAAATAGGTTATATTTTGACTTACAACAGAAGGTTTCTCTCTCTCTCTCTCTCTCTCTCTCTCTCTCTCTCTCCCCCTCCGTCCCTCCCATTCTGCCTCCCTGCCCCTACGCCACCCCCACTGCCAACTAGTACTGTCTTCCTCTCATGATTTCCCTCCACAAAATATACTAGCACAGGCCTTCAGCTGAAGTCAGGCAGAATGAACAAACCTGAGAAGTTACTCCTGATACCTTCTCACTCCCCAGTAGTGTCATTATTATTAAACCCTTCCTGGTGGAGAGAAGAAAATTATCAGGATGTAGTTATGAGAAATTCAATGAAGTAATACAAAATCAATGACATGCTGATCTCCTTCAAGTATTATTTTTTGTGAGCTGTTTTCTCATTTCGTTGACACATGCTAATTTTCATAGGTAGATTGTGTACCTGAGCTTTCCATCAGGGTTGAATAAGAGAGGAACATTCATTCTCAGGTGAACAACATCTCATCTTATTTTGCAGAACTATATTGCTTACATCATACTTACTTTTTTCTAACAAAATTTGACTCTATCATCAGCAGATGATCTTTTTTGACCAGCAGATTTAATGACTCATCATGTAACTCTGATCCTAATATTTCTCAACATTTATTCTGATAATGGCATAGAGAATGTTTCATCCAAAACAAACAGACTAATTTTTGTACCCATGTCATCAGAAACAAATATTTTTTCAAGTAAACATGTTGACTTAGGTTGATTAAAGAGCAAATTAAAATGTAAAGCTTACCTTTCAGAAATATAGAAATAACAGTCATCCCTAGACATATATTGTCATCAAAAATAAATTATCTAGTAATCCTCCTATGTTTGAAATTATCATAAATACAAAAAGAAACCATATATCTTATAGCTGACAAATACAAAGAAATCTTGTTGAAAATAAGTAGTTGAGAGCCATAACCTCAAAGTAGTATTTTTATTTACAAAGGGAAATAAAGAGCCCTAATTTGGTGATGAAAATAAATGCCTATCGATCAACTATAAAAATGAATGCAGCAGCTACAGGTAACTGGGCACTATAATTTCTTCCAGGTGTGATGCTGGTTATACTGGACAACACTGTGAAAAAAAGGACTACAGTGTTCTGTATGTTGTTCCCGGTCCTGTACGATTTCAGTATGTCTTAATCGCAGCTGTGATTGGAACGATTCAGATTGCTGTCATCTGTGTGGTGGTCCTCTGCATCACGAGGTCAGTAACAGCACTTGGTAGCTACCCAAATAAAGGGATATCTTGTTCCTCCTTTTTTAAATCAGATTCCTCTGAGCTGAGTTCCTTCATGGACCATGAAGCCATTTCTCTATGAGTCCTATGTCCTTAGCATAAGAGTATTTGTAGACAATGGAGTGGTACAATAGCATATTGGGGAGGTACAAATTGTTTTCTTTAATTTTGCCTGATGATAAAGATTATTGATTTTATCTGCCAGAATTAGTATCCTTATCTACCTGGATCAGTATCCTTATGTACCTGGATCAGTATCCTTATGTACCTGGATCAGTTTTGACATATCTTGGTGTAATAACAAATACATTTTTATCTTAGGATGACAAAATAGCTTTCTGCCACAAAATGCAGAAGCACATATAGTTGTACTTTTATGATAAATGAAAACCTTAAATACATAGAAACATGCAGCAAATATCACAACAAGTTTTTATGTCAAATCAAAAGGTAATTATTTCCTGGAGAATCAGGTTGAAAGATAGAGAGGTTTTCTTTAGTTTCAATGGGAAAGAAAACCATCATTAGTTAACAATGCCTGAAGCTGGGCTTGGAGTAAAGGAGTAAGCCCAATACCTGCCTAATTTCATTAGCATGCAAACCGATGATAACCAAGAATTGGACTTTAAGCCAAATGCATATCATTTGTGTTCTGTATAACCAGAAAAGTCATTGAAGATAGCCCTTACTGACCTGATTTCACTCTTCTATAAAAAATTCCAAGGCAGTTATTAAGATGTTCACCAAACTCACAAGACATTTAGTCTTTCTTCATTTGTGTAGCTCTGAAGTAAATCAGAATGTTTCCCTAAGAATTATTTTGAACAGATACAAAAATAAAAGAAAGTATCATATCTTTAGAAAATAAGGGCCATAATACATTTTAGTATGGTATTGCACTATCTTCTTTAAGGACAAGTGTGTCTTTTGCTCTTGAAAAAGACAAAATATGGTTCATAAATCCTCTCCTGGCCTAAGGGCTTAAGGGAAGATCATTGACTAGAGCTTTGGGCTGTTCTAAGCCAAGAGGAGTTCATCAACTCAACTCTCACGTTTAGATGCCAAGTGAGTCAATGGATTGTATTAAAATAGATTCTGGGGAACATAAAGATAACAAGAAAGCAAAAATACTGCATATAAAAAGACAAAGAAAAGAATCTGAAACATGGGAAACTGTGCCATATGACTCTAATATCTAGCCAATATCAGTACATGAAAAACAAAACCTATATTTAATGAATATAATCTCAACAATTTGATTGCTACTTCAACTACTGACACAAATGCAAAACTATAAATATTTTAGATGTTTTCAATTCTGTCATGAATCCCAGCTGCATTCCCATACATAATAAAAACAATTGGAATATACAGGGTCCTTTCCTCACCAAGATTTATGTAAGTATACATTATGTGTGTATATCATATATGTGTATACACATACACACACACACATATATATACACACATTTAATAACATTATAAAGAAAGAACAATTATCTCCAGTTTCAAGATAGAAACGCTGAGGTAGAAGTTGGCAAATTGCTGACTTCACACAGCTGAGCAGCAAAGGCAGAAATGGTGTCCGGGTTGCCTAGTGCCAGAACCGGGACACTCCACAGTACTCACATTGCCCTGTGTCTGGTAAGGATTTTGTGTATTCTGATGCTCAAGGTTATCTAAACTGAGCTCCAAATTAGAGTAAGCTACTTTTCCAAGGCATGTGGCCTTATTCATTTTCCATGTTATAATAAAATAAAACCTATCCTCAGTGTATTTGCTTTTGAGGCAGAGGCATAGCACATAAACTAAATTAGTATTCTGTAATGGCTTTTCCAAATCTGTCTTAGGACCACTAAACCTACAGCCTTTCCAGGATTCATACTAGTCAATAAAGCACAACAATTCCCAGTGTGGATTCATTTCACTCACTTGAAAACATTCTGCTCTGAAACCAGACTTTCCAACTAGGCTATCTCTCCCCAGACCCCAGAAATCCTACTTTCCTGATGACCTGGACACCTCTGTCTGTCAACACCTATTTTAAAATAGGTCTTGCTAAAATATTTACAGAATTGCACCAAACAGAGGTCCTCTCATTTCCTTTGATTTTTGGTCTTCCTCATCTGGTCTCTCCTATCTTCTATATCTCTCTACTGGCTCCTCTCCTTCTTCTTATTTTCTTTTTTTTTTTAATTCTTTTCTCTTTTTCTTTACTATTTTAGCAAAACACCTGCCCTACTCCTAAACACCACGTGTCACAAAAAATATGGACATTTGGAGACATGTTTCAAAATGAAAGGAGTTGCCCTGTTGAGAAGTTGGATTTTTGATCTTTTTATCTCTAGCTCCCAAGAGCTGGGAATGTGATTTCTGCTCCGTGTTCACTTTAGCAGACCTATCCTCCCTCTAAAACTCTACATGTATATATTTGTATACATAAACATACATACACACATATATATAAATACATATACACACACATGATATACATGTAATGTTATATTTATATATTTTGATATATTCTGATACTTCATAGATTATTATAATAGACTTTTACATGAACTTTCCATTATTCTTATTGCATAGCCAAAGCATTTTTTGTTACAAGACAAGAAAATACTAGATCAGAGATTTTCAGATAATTTGACTGAATATTAGATTTTTATAGATGCTAAATAATTGGTACCAATTTATTTCCCTAATTTATACTATTAATGGCTAGTTCAAAACAATATTCCTAATATCAAATATTAACAATTGGTTCATTCTCTGGTTTGATAGGATTTAAACTCATAACATTGAAAAGTCAATATAACATTCATTCTTAGGACATTTAAAATATAAAATTGTTGAAGACCTTTAAAGTGAGATAAAAGGGTTCACGACTTGCTTGATTGCATTATGCTGAGTCATTCTTTGTGCCTTAATGAGTAAGCAGTTAAGGACAAAGTAAATGTCTTCCTCTTTAACTTCTGCCTCTGTTCAATTCTCAATAGAAGCTTAAAGATAACTGCACAGAGAAGCAAAATAAAAACTTTTCCAAAATAATCCGAGCTTCTACTAACAATAAATTCTTTCATCTGAAATATTTTAATAATTTGCTTAATCCATAGCTTCACTCTGTAGGACCAAGGTAATAGCATTGAACTAAGATTTATCAACTTTCCAACTTTCTAGGAAATGCCCCAGAAGCAACAGAATTCACAGACAGAAGCAAAATACAGGGCACTACAGTTCAGACAACACAACAAGAGCGTCCACGAGGTTAATCTAAAGGGAGCATGTTTCACAGTGGCTGGACTACCGAGAGCTTGGACTACACAATACAGTGTTATAGACAAAAGAATAAGACAAGAGATATACACATGTTGCCTTGCATTTGTGGTAATCTACACCAATGAAAACATGTACTACAGCTATATTTGATTATGTATGGATATATTTGAAATAGTATACATTGTCTTGATGTTTTTTCTGTAATGTAAATAAACTATTTATATCACACAATATAGTTTTTTCTTTCCCATGTATTTGTTATATATAATAAATACTCAGTGATGAGAAAAAAATGGCATTCTTAAATTTGCGGTATCTCATAACTGTAAATATAATTAGACTAGTACAATCTGTACAGCTACCAATATTTCATGTTTCTCCTCATCTTGAGACAGCACATTAGTTTGTACAGGACTCAGTGGCTAGGTTTTTGAGTGATTCCAAGATCAAGGGAAATGATGGTTATTGGAAAAGAGAAAAAATAATTTACTTTATATTGAGTGAGGATAACATATTTTGGATCTTTGAATCATCTCTATTTCATCAACTTTCTTCCCTGGTCTTCCATTTTCATCCCTAGAGCAGAAAAATCCCTGACATATAAATTAAATAGAAGAAGAAGGGGAGGGAAGTGTTTTATAACTCATAAAGAAGAGGGAAATAAGATATTGGTTTTTATTGGGGAAGCAGCTTAGAATCTGCCAGTTAAGTGCATATATCTGAAGGACCTGGAACAAGTCACTTATTAGGTATACACAGAGTGGCGAAATATATTCCATCTAAGTGGGTGGAATTACAGGGGAAAAATATAACACCATTAAATGTGAAACACCAAAATTGTGAATTCTCAAAAGCACCAAACTATATAGTATATGGTTCTTTGAAAAGAAGTTAGAATCACAACCAATACCCCATGAATAGCTTTATGGCAAATGCAGCACCATGATTTGAAATGGAACTAAGATGATGAAAATATTTTATGAAAACAGAGATATGTTTTAAGCATATTTAAAGGTGAGGTAAGAAAGAAAATCCCATAGCATCTGAAAGACCTCACTGGGAAGTTGGTATGGATTTTTGTTTGATTTGTGCATACAAATAGGTATTACAACTTGGTTTGGAAAAAATAAGCTGTGAAAATTCTCAAGGAATAAGATAAGAATAAGTCAATTATTATCATTTAGCTCTGCAAAGCTTTTCATGGCTAACACAGTAAATTTAAATAAAGCTCTCTTTGTCTCCTTCAAATAACCTGTGCGTGGACTTTAAAAAATAAAAAGGACACTCCAAATATCAAATCAACACATTCAGAATATAAAATATTCAGTGAAAAATTATTTTCTGAAGTGATGTTTAAAATACTGGTTAAAACATAAATAAAGGTGACAATGTAAGTAGAATTTAGGACTCTGAAAAACCTGGTTTTCTAGATTAGTCATCACTGTGAAAAACGTGACTCTATTGGCAAAACCATCACTCAAGTGTTCCCATAAATCAGCCCTCTGATACCTGTACAAGACAAATTCCTTTTCAACTTCTTCATGGAAGTTTAGTTTAGTTAACAGGTAGAAAGATGCAACAAGCCAGGGTCTCCTTTGTAAGATAGTTGTGACAAAGAAATCCTTCCTCTTTATAAAGGAAGAGGGGAAAATACAACCATCACAGAGATTTATTGAGATTAAAAGAAACATTTCTACTGACTCTGGCTTGTAGGAGTGTGAAATGATTTGATTTCTTAGATACGGCTGCATTGCTGTATGTGATTCTTTATCAAAGGACCACAAACCTAAGTCCTTGGAGTTCATAGTACAATACACTCTTGCCCAGTTTCATGCTCACTCACCCCATGAAGGAATCCCTTTTAAAAGGTGCAAAACAATCTTAAGTGAGCACATACTATGTGCCAGGCACTATTCAAGGTCCTAGGGAAATACAAATAAAACATGGTCTCTGCTTTAAAAAAAAAAAAAAGAAAGAAAAACAAACTAACACAAGACTTGGACAACTATAATTTTTGAGACAATTCTTTCTCGTATCGAGTAGATGCTTATTTCTATGTGGTTTCTTCTATGTGGTTTCTACCCATGACTCCTATTTTTCTCTTAGGAGCAAAGGAATAATGACTTATTTATTTAAAATAAAAAGAGAGAAATCATGTTTTCCCACTCACCCCACAGCCTTCCTGCAAGTCTTTTCTTCTCCAAGTGAAGCATCTTTAATTTCCTCATCTGTCCTTCATGTGATATTACTTCCACATCCCCCTAGCATCTGCTTCACCCTTCCTTGGACAAACTCTACCTTATCAATATATTTATTTAATTAATTAAATTAATTAATTTAATAATAATACACTTAAGTGTAGAGCTCAGAATTGCACAGTCTACTACAGTTGTCTGACCAGCACACTATATAGTAGAACTTGTAGAAAGCAAGTTTGAGAGCCATGATTCTTAAATTTAAATTCTACTTAGACCTGCAATTTTGCTGTGGAACCATGAGCAAGTCATATCATATCTCTGATCTCAGTTTCCTCATCCATAAGATCACTTCTGTCTCTCTATCAAGATTCTATATATTCAGAAAAAAGGCACTATACTTTTAGTATTGCTACCAAGGACCACATTGACTACTGTTATTGCTTATCCTCAACTTAAATTCAAAATTCTTTTAAAGTAAACTGCTCATGGCCAGGCGTGGTGGTTCATGCCTGTAATCCCAGCATTTTGGAAGGCCAAGGCAGGAGGATTACTTGAGTCCAGGAGCTCGAAACCAGCACATGGAGAAACCCTGTCTTTACAAAGAAATACAAAGTAAGTCAGGCATGGTGCTGCTGCCGGTAGTCCCAGCTATTTGGGAGGCTGAGGGGGAGAATCACTTGAACCCGGGAGAAAAAGGTCGCAGTGAGCCACTGCACTCCAGCCTGGGTGAAAAAGCAACACTCTGTCTCAATAAATAAATAAACAAACTGCTAATGAGCCATGTCATTCCCACATTTACTCATTCATTCATTATACATTTATTATAAATTTACCAAGGGCTTCCAGTTACCAGCACCATGCTACATTACAAAAAGCCAGGGACAAATAAGGCAGAGTCCCTGCCTGAAAGGAGTTCACTGTCAGAACATCCCAGTTCCTTGCACCAAAGATCACACAGTCCTGCGGGGAAGATTGAGACATAAATAAAAAATTATAAAGAATGTGACAAAGGCTATGATACTGGTCAGCTCAGAGTGCTTGGGGACTCTTAAAGAGGAAGTACAAGGCTGGGGAGGTATCCTCTTGATGCTAAGATACGCAGAATGACTTCATCATTCTCCACACATACTCTGACTTCTTGCTTCTGATATTTTACATGCTCCTCATGCTTTCTTCACACCCTTCTTTTCTTCACAAAACCCAGAGCAAATAACAGCTTATCAGTGAAGCCCCCCGACTCCCTTGGCCATCTTCCTAATTATCTTATAGTGCTTTTCATGTTGTTCCTTAACTGTCCATGCAAGTCTGTCTTTCCCTTAGCAAAAGAGCAACGAAACCCAGAAAATCAGTGCCTTGTCAATTGTTTTTGTTTGTTTAAGAAACGTGTTGGATACCTATACCATGCCAGACACTATTCTAGGTACTGTGATGTTGCAGTGAAGTGCCTAACAGGTCTCTGCTCACAGGCTCACCTTTTAGCAGAGGAGGTGAAGGTGGATGGCGGGGGGGTCATCAAACAATTTAAAAGAAAACTGCAGTTTCAAGTTCTACACAAAGAATTAAAAATAGGACAAGGTGGCCGGGTAGTGAGTGAGGACTGGGTGCCTCCAAAGTGAGCATCATGTTTAAAACTGGGCCTCTGAAGCAAGGCAGATAGGACTGCCTGTCTAGGCTTCACTTTACTAGCTAACCTTGGGCGAGTGGCCTAACTTCATTATGCCGCATATTTTAAATGGAGAGAAAAAAATATCTTCCACGTCCAATATGATTGGTTTGAGAAATGAACAGACAATCCATCCTTGTACTCAGAATTGTGACATGTACACAGTGAACTTTCAATATCTGGAAATTATTTTATAGGGATTTGATAAATATGTGTTGTAAAAGTAAATAAGAAGACACCATATTTCATCAGTTAAACATTGTGTCATGGGAATCACACGGTCAGAGTAAGAAGGAATCAAGCAATCATCCTTGCTCAAAAAAAGTGTCTCTCATATCTTTGAAGACAAGAGAGCTGGTTTTGGTTCTGGAAAAATAAGGCAATATAGAGTTAAGAAACAACACAGCATCTCTAATTCTGTTTTTAAGATGGATCCACTGGTATTGTGTCTGAATAAGAGGGTTTTTTTTTTCTGCTACTTTAAAATAGGTATATCCTGAAAAAGCACATACCATTAAACTTCTTGTGTGTTTTCAGGCAGGGAATGAGTGAGTCAATACTGCAGAGATTTTGCAGGATCAAAGTCTTCGCTTGCATGGATCCTGGAGAAGTCAGTGCAGGCTACTGAAATATGATAGAGATAATCTCTGTGTCATATTAGACTCTCTACTAATGTTTGTCTTCAGATGCTACTTCCCTTTGCCAAAATCATGCAACCCCTGCACCACCTGTTGTTCTTCCTCAGTTAGAGTAGACATGTTAGTTACAGAACTAACTATCTGGATATCAATCATAAAAGTTTTTTCAGCTGGGCACAGTGGCTCATGCCTGTAATCCCAGCACTTTAGGAGGTCAAGGTGGGCAGATCACAAGATCAAGAGATCAAGACCACCCTGGCCAACATGGTGAAATCCCATCTCTACTAAAAATACATCAAACAAGAAAATAAGTTGTCTATCCGTGCATCGGGGCATGATGGCAAGTGCCTGGAGTCCCAGCTACTTGGGAGGCTGAGGCAGGAGAATCTCTTGACCCAGAAAGTCAGAGGTTGCAGAGGGTGGAGATTGCATCACCACACTCCAGCCTGGCGATAGAGCGAGACTCCATTTCAAAAAAAAATTTCCATTGAATTAATTGATAAATGTATATGATCATCCTCAGAAAGCTCAAATAAAGGATGAATGAAGGAGAAACAGAAGATGATACAAAGTAATGGGGTTGGTTTTTTATAACCAGTACATAAATATACAAATGAATATGATCCTTTGAAATCAGCATCAGGAAGTTATGGGTGATGTGGCATCTGCTAGCCAGCAGTCACATGCCAAGCCTCCTTCCAGCCTCACTATGGACAGAAATCTACTTTACTGACCCCTCTACTCCGGGGATGGTACCTTGGTTGATATCTATTTCCAGTAATAATAAATGTGTC